TAATCGTTAATATTTTACCCAACATGTAAATTGACATAATAAGAGCGTTTTTTTTCTGTCTCTGATTTACATTACATATTTGCGAACAATTCATTAATGTGTGTCGAAAAAAACGAACTGGTCTTATATGACAAAAAACGTCAAACAAAACCACACCAGCTTACTGAGATAACTAAGATTACTTAGTGTATGATGTATTACGACTGGAACGCTTATTCGTTTCATTCAAACCTTATTTGTAAAACTCGTATCAGGAAGTTTCCACCCACTGTGTATGGAAATATATATATATATCGTTTTTTATTTAAAAGTGGATTTCCATCATTATTTTTTTTTATATTTTTTTTTTTTTTTCGTGTGATATTGTATCTTTTTCACGAGTATGGCAGAATATATATATTCTGTACAAGTGCGGTGTATAGTACGATGACGTAAAAATACTTACATTCCATGTCGACTTACATATAGGAAGTACAGGAAGATAGAGTTACATATCCGGGTAATGTATCTATTACTATAACCATCTGTTGTGATTTAATCAATACCAGGTGTTTCTACGTCATCAACATTTAAATAGCATGTTCAAGAAAACAAACATTTGTATATAAAACAAGTTATATTGTAAGATTTTGACAAAATATAGTGTGACCATTTAAACAATTTTGCTATAGTGCTATTTTTTCGTCGTTATATGATTCCTGTGTTAGCTTTCTTAGATGCTTACATAAGACATCGATTTTCTTTATCTGTAATGTGTAATGTAGATCACATAATTACATATCTACAGTATACAAGAAAAAAAATTAGGTTAAACTTTAGTTTTTATTCTGAAGGAGTTTTGGTTTATGTACTAACACGCAAGTTTCGATTTTCAAAACACGAAATTGTTTAAGTGTAAATCTTGGCGCCCAACATCGTTTTATAATGTTTATAGGTTCCGTTTTCTCCCTCTCTTCTTATATAAGTAACTACTCGTTGTTTTATCGCAATGCTACATCGGTCGACAAGGAGATATTTTCAGCACATTCTGACAACTAGCAATATGATATGCAAATACCAAAATCTGAAATGGTTGCCCGTCAGCCTGTACTGAGAAAGGATTGACAAACTTATTTTACCGGCTTTTGCGTGTTTTGATGAAGCCCTCGGCGGATCTATGTCTAACTACATTCTGCCATTTGGTGCCCGCGTCAGTCTTCAGTTTAAGATGCCCAAATAACAACCAAAGGATTCCTAACGTGGATTTGAAATAGGACATGGCTACCTGTCAGCCACTTGTATTGGTTGTACAAATCTATATAACAAGGCGGAACCTGCTTTGAAACATGAGAACGATTATTCGAGCACTTTTCAATATTGATTCTCAAAACAATCGATACAAGACGTTTTGTTAAACTGATCATGTACAGCTAGGTCATTCACATGTGCTATAAATTATCGATAAACGAAAAAAAAATTATAATGTTCGCAGGAGAAGACGGTTGTCATTCAAACTAATTCACATATGGTAATCTATATCTTATCCTTCATGTATCTATGTAGGTTTTTTGTTAATTTCCTGTTCTATATATTGAATTAACGCGACAGCTAGAATGAGATCAGCTATATATAGACATTCTACGTGTTTACGTAACAGACTGTCAGTCAGTGCATTTTGTAGGCTAAGAATTCAACGTTCTTTTTATAAAAAAAAAACATAAAAGAGCATACATCATGATCTTCGTTCACGAATATGTATCTATTTGGCGCGAGTTTTGTAAGAAGTTCTTAAACAGATAAAGTGGAAGTTACGTTAGATTTAATGTCGACTAGCACCGACATACACGTCGCTATTAAACAAACAATTAATTCAAATTCAATTGGCATAAAATGTCAAAGATATGAAAATTTATTGTTAACAAAAATAGAATATATCGCTTCTGGTCATAGCTTGTAATTGGCCGGTCGGCAAGAGTTATTGTTCTTGGAAATGGTGTACGAACATTAATGAAATATAAAGAGGGATATTGACTAAACCACATGCTGAAGTATTCAGTACAACTTTATATCTCTGAACAGTATCATAAGTTTTTCATCAATAGATAAATGACAAAATAAATTACAGTCGACCGTATACACATTTGTGTAATAAACGATCAATTCCCTGTCACGCAGTCAAAAAGCTGATTTAAGCGACTATTGAGCAGTCCAAACATAAATTTCTAGAAAATCCCCTGGTTCGGGAGGAAATCGAAAGCTGGATTCCCATTTTCATACATTCGACAGAGATGTGCTATATAAACGACACATCTATCTATAGTCATATGTACACGTATTAAGATTCGTGTTCTTGTGATTTGACCAATTTCACAAAATGAACAGCTCACATCATCAACTCAAACTAAACAGACTGAATGATAATGCTGTCCTTTAGATGTTTGACCTACAGATACGATAGAAAACTGTGCTATGTTATTAATTGGTACAGTAAATCGACAGAAACTATTCTACGTTCAAAACATTTTCATCGAATCTTTTACAAAAATATTCCTTCAAAACAACTTCGGTAGATGAAAAAATCAAAGTCCAAATTAAATCAACAATGACCGGATACAGAAAAATTATCTCCGAGTGAGGCGGTATTGGCCGGCTTGGGTGTGAAGACAGCATTGTGTGATGGAGGTAATCTCGATATCAATTGTTTAAAAACGTTTGAAAAATAATTTTCCACAGACTTCCCCTTACAAGATCTGCTAACAACACGTTTCCGTTTCATTTGTGTAAAACGGCAGAGAACATATTGGTAATTAATTACGAATCTGCAGTTCCAAAGGTTTGGGTAACCTGCATTTCGCGTCATTTGAATTTTAGAGTCAGTACTGTCTGGTTTTTTCACTTATATTCGACCATACTTTTTAATATTATTATTATTTTCCTCGGTCGTCACCCATAATTTTCAACATGATTTCGCACCACAGATGAGACCTAGTATAACGAAATGGATGTATGATTCAGTTTGATGTATCATTTGCTATTTAATTCAAAATATGTATTAAGTACCGAATGCACTTCAATCCTCGTTGAGTTACAAGATCTGATCAAGCACATATCCTCAACGAAAAGAAGAATTCAAAATTTCGAGAATTAAGTTGTTATTTCCATTATGTAGCATACAAAATGAGATTTTAATCGAAAATTTTCAACAACATTTTCATATTTTATTCCTACCGAAGTGTACAGCAACATATAAAAGCTTGCACAGAATATTTTTCAAAATGTTGACGCACCAAAAGATTTCTCAATTAAAAAATAAAACATGCTTCAACAGTAATTTAAACAATCAAGGTATCGCTAAACAGAAAAGCCCATGATGAAATTAGGAGTATAATAATGATCAGCGGGGCGTTAATCCAAGTTATACGATACACCGATATTTTAACCATGTCAAAATTGACTGCACAGCTGTCATACTAAGGGAGATAACTCGTATTCGTTTTCATGTGGCACCGCCCATATTACTATATAAGTAAAGTGCCACGTAAGCAATCGACCTGCTTCGTTATTTTATTTTTCGGCAGCACAAGGCAGTTGTTAGATAAAATTTTGACCATATCATATAATAATACCGTTGTTCTTTGAGGAATTAATATATTACCAGCAACTTTCATTTAGTATAATCATTTTTGGTACCCGTTTTATAACGAAGGGGGATATAGCTCAGTGGTAGAGCATTCGACTGCAGATCGAGAGGTCCCTGGTTCGAACCCGGGTGTCCCCTCATTTTTTTATAAATTCCTGTGTTCAAATAACAACATAGAAGGAAAAATCAACACCATTATTTACATATCTTCATTGTTCCTCAAAACCTTCACGTGCAGTTACTTGGAAAATAACAAAACCTGCTTTCACAGATCAAAAGGGAATCTTACTTTATAAATAAATTTTAATCCCTCTTAAACCTCATGACACTGGAAGTAGTACTAAAATCAAAAGATCTTGATATCCTGTTACCATATTTATCTCCTATTGAATTACAAAAATGGCCTTTCACATAGTTGCCCGCAGTTTGATTCCCAGAACAGATGTGAAAAGATTTAGGGTTATCTGCACAACCATGTGAAGTTTTCGCGGGGTACTCAAATTTCCTCTCATATTAAAACACTACTTTACTTACATCCCAGCCGAGTGATTAGTACAGGCTGAAATAACTTGTTTCACAATTGTTGTAAAACAAATGAAGCTTACATCATGTAACTTAATGTTGTATACTTAATACATGTCACCAGGTAGATTATATAACATATGGAAATAAATCAGACATATTCAATAAAGCTTAATTCAGAGCTGTGTGGGAGCATAAAGGTAAAATACATGCTTTCAATGCTTGGTTTCAACGAGCACTTTGTAATTTTCGAAATGGTCAGGTGGGTAAGCATCGGTCTTTTGATTTTACTATGACAAATTCAAAACAGTACATAGGACAAATGCAGGTGATAAGTCTGTAACCTCAAAATCTTGTATAAAAGAACATAGTCAATGGATGATAAAGTTAAATTGTCTGAAATGGTTGATATCTATTTAAAGATCATTCATACCACCATTGCGATGAAAAAATATTTCATTGTTACTCACAAATCCAATGATAATTAAGAATGAATGCACTATTTAGATTATTTTTCTAAAAATGAGGTAGACTGTATCAAGTTGAACTTTGACCTTTGTTTGTGAGTGTCAACAAAGAGCCAGACAAAAAAAACAACATGTAAGTCATCATAATCAAGTTTAGACACAGGACAAGGGCATAACGTAAAAAGTCTGACACAATAATATTAATCCAGAAATAAGCCCATGTTCGGTAATAAGCCCACCCAACAAGAACTACTTCAATACAATATCATGTAATAAGTCTATCACTGACTTACAGTCAGAAGAGATGTGTTGGCTCCCTGGACTTATTGCAGCAGTAGGATATGTAACAATATCTCAACTAGGCAGATTTTAAAAAACAACAATAAACAATGTTTGTTTTACATTTATTAGTACATTTGTGATTCCAGTGTCATCTGTTCATTACCAGACAGCCCTAACAGAAGTGCAAGGCCAGGGACATCTGGTAATATCCAGTACAACACAACCACCAAATACAACAACAGAACTGGCCTGGTGCAATGCCAGTAGTCAACAAGAAAACAGCCTGTGTGCAATGCTGTATAGTGACAGCGATACCTGTTTAATCGTAGCACAGAGACCACAGTGAAACTTCCTTAGAGCAGGATACAAAAGAATACGGTGTATTAATCATAACACATGCTGTTAACACCCATTCCGTTTTTGGATGAAATTGTTACTGGTCATCAAAATACATATCAAAATAAACAGGTTTCACTGCACAAAACAAATAAGATACAAAAAAAATAAATGGATACAACCAGCTGAAGTGCAATGCTGGATCGACTAACTTAATATATTGACAATTTTGAATGATGTATAAAAAGAATGATAAGAAATTGCATTATGATCATGATATGGGAAAGATTTCTTGTATAAAGACTTCATCTGCATCTTTATATGACCATTTGAATGTAGTAATGTCATTACTTTTTGTATGTAGCAATGTCATTACTTTTTGTATGTAGCAATGTCATTACTTTTGTATGTAGTAATGTCATTACCTTTTGTATGTCATTAATAAGTCTGGTCAATTCAATATTTAATCTCAACATTTCTATGAAGAAAATCAATTTGGAATAATATTTGCACAGAGCAATGATCATGATTTCCTGGACACACCCCTCGCATCTAACACATTCATGCACACATGAAAAACACACCAAAGACAGCACCATGTTATATTGTCTACTTCTTGGCGAATGAGATTTTCATGGCATTGCTAGGCGTGATCTTGAAGCCCTGTAGGGCATCCTTAGCAGCAGCAGATTGAACCTCATTTTCAAATTCAACGAAAGCAATGTCATGTCGACCAGGCACCAATCGCACTTCCTTGAATCCAGGAAATCTACAAGGAGAAACAAAACATGAATTGTCTTTTTATATTAATATATCATCAATCTTAACAGTTATTTTCACATCATTCAAACAATGAGGAAGGTGAGAAATTAGCTTCATCTTTTCTCTTTAAGCATAATCAGATGTTGGAAATACATCAGATATTACTATATTATACATATGTTGAATGGGTTTGAGGTTAACATGTGTTATGTTTAACAAGAGGACTAAACTGTTGTCTGAGGCCAAAGGAAACAGTGTGGTCTGCAGGTTCAGCATAAAACATCCAGTCTACACATGTTTTGTTATACCTCTATCACTGACATCTAAGAGAACGAATCATTACAGATATATATAAAGATGATGGCAGAAATTGTCAAGTAATAACCGGAGAGTACAGCACAGTAATGAGCTGTGATGTAAGCAGTCAACATCGAGAAGTTGACAGGTAACCATTGTCATTGGGCAAACATCTAGAATTTCAGGCTTTATTCACTATAGAAAAGTATAGGAAATGAATAGTATGGTGTAACAAAATATAATGTTCAATACAGAAAAACATATGGAAATTATTCCATCTGTTTGCTAATACTTTTCATTCTGAAACATCAAAACTATGACCGCAGAAAATTTGTTTGAATATGTATCCTGCCATACAATATACATTGTGACTTAGTAACTGGAAAATTAATCTTTAGCATAAATTATTATAATATTATATTATTTTATTAATAAATTAAGTATTTTGAAACATATACCGAACAATCCTATGTAAGTTACGTACTGATTAAACAACATGGACAACATCATTTCATTGGTTTCCTCAGGCAGGTTTGTTAAGAACAAGATCTGGTTGGGTGGTTGTTCAGGAATAGCTGTAGGAGCTGGGGCTGCAGCGGCTGCTGGTGCTGCTGCTGCTGTAGAAAGAAAAACTCACATTAAACAGGCAAACAGAATCAAATCATTCTTAGGTGAGATCACAACCAACCCATCTTATATTGAAGAAGGCTACCTGGCAGTAGTTTCTTCAGAGTATGCTCCTGACTACCTAAAATATGACAACTCGTGAGTGACAGAACATGTCTACTTTTCGTTAAGACTCTTCAGATTTAATGAGAAGGACTTTTGACTTCTGCAACTGCTACAAATATTACAAAAAAGTGAAAAGGTCAGCTTGAAGATTTGTCACACATATAAGGATCTCAAATATCATTTACTAAAAGACTGTCACAATCTACACCCTGTATTTCATATGTTACTACTTTTTGTACTACTCTAACCACCAACATCATTCAATATCAGTGACACTTCCACAAACAAAACAGACCAGTTCTATGAATACTTACCTGGCTGTACTTGTGGTGCCATCGGCGCGACTTGTTGTACTTGATTCAAAACTGGGGCAGCTGCTTGTCTGTTGGAACACGGAAAGAAAGATCATTATCCAACATTATGTACAGGTACAATGTTTTAACTTCTAAACTATCACTTATATTTATCTTATTGCCAAAATAGCATTCAAATATTTATCTGCATTGTAGCATTGGAAAAATTAATATTTTATCAATTCCCAAATTTTGCAATTTACATCGGATAACTTCCTTCCTGATTCAACAATTTTATTCCTAAAATGAGGCTAAAATGCTTCATCCCAAACTAGTGAAAAAAGACTGACTTGTATCAAGACTTTAACAACTGTGAAAGATCAATGGTATATTATGAATGATTGTCTTTTGTAAATAAAGTTTAAGTACAGTTACAATGAAATCCTGATACAAAATCTCAATGACATCTTACTTTTGTGCTGCATTCTTTTTCTTAGATTTTTTGGCTACCTCTCCCTCCTCTTCCTTCTTTCTTTTTGGGCGCTCCACAAAAGTGCCTTTTATTTTAGCAATGATGTCCGAGTCTTTCTTAGAATATTGAATTCTCTACAAGAAAAATGTACCAAGTGAATCAAGCTGATCAGCTATGTAAATGATCTTTGTTTCTGCAGTCCTTAAAAAAAACCTAAAATATAGGTACATTTATGTTTCTTTATGTTACATCTCTACATTTTTTATTTAATTAAAATCTAATACTGATTCCGTTCTTTACAAACATCTGAATAAAACCAATTAAATTTTTAATAGTTAGTGTGAATTTTTTGAAGATTAATGTTTAATATTTACATAACAAAATGCATTAACGTGCCATCAGATATACTTCTCGTTATATCTAAACTCTCAGAAGTATTTCGAAAAACAAATGGCACAGTCTATGAACAGATCTGTAACGTCAAAGCTCAAGTTTTCACCATTATAATATACCACCTAAGCTTAGAGTGTTGAACAGTTTGAACGACACCACCAAGCTCTCAGAGCACCGGGCAGTAGAGACTGTATCATCATAAATTTTACCATTGGTTTGTCATAGAAAGGGAATCCCTGCATTGATCTTATAGCATTGGTGGCACTGCTAATATCCTTAAATATAACAAACGCTTGTCCTCGCATCTTCAGTGTCTTCATAGCTACAATGTCTAGGATTTGTCCAAATTGGGAGAATATGGCATACAGTGATTTCTTCAGGTCTGAAAAACCGAAATAAAAAGGTAAATGCAATTTTCCTTAAATTTGTTTTGTCAATCAATTTCTGTCTCTTGATATTTTATGAAAATTCATTGTCCATAAAAAATTAATCTACACTGCTGTGAGGAAAAAAAAAATGCAATTATTAAGTACTTCACAACAAATTATTTGAACCATTTGACTGTTCATATCGAGAAATGCCTATTCTTACTTTCTGACAAGTGTTAAAGCTTACTATCTGCAGCTAAAAGTAAAAAATTTTCCCAATTTATAAGTATTAAACACTTACAAATCATTCTCAATCTATCATAAACAGTAACAATAGAAACATACAAGTTTATTCAAGTTTTCAACTTTTCTACCTTAAACAGAAGTAAGCTTATCATGGATTCAATGTGAACTAATGGTATGATGAAAACCAACATTTATGAATACATTGAATGGTATATCTTTTTTTGTTTACTGAATTTATTAGTTTCATATTCAATTGACAATTTGACAAATGTAACAAATATTTTAATCAAATTGAATTAACTGTTTACTGACTTGGTATGAAAGAAGAATTTGTGATAATGCACTATTAATTAGAATCAGAAAAGACTAAGAAGCAAAATAAATTCTAAAAACAATATTATAGCAAAATCTCTCAATGTGAAACTCCCTGGACATGGTCAATGGCAGTGAAGTGATTTGTCCTTAATTCCTCAATCATCAATTGTCTACTGCATGCAAACGTTGCTGATTTCACTTTGATAGTAATACTTACCATCTTTCTTGATTTTTTCATTCAGGTTGTTAATGTAGATGGTTTGATTCGGGCGAATATCCATTTTATCTAGAAAAAAAAAATAAAAAAACAAAAAATAGTAATAAAACAATTATCCTCATAATACAGTCAATAACAAAACTCCAGCTCAAATTGAGAACAGAGATTGACCACACAAAATTAAACCCCCAATTACTTAATCATATTTACATATTCAAATTTTGACTACCTTGAAGCTAGCTGTTGGGTTATTCTGAATTATTCTAACGGTTTATTGTCTTATTATATCGTTCAGAAATCATTCACCAACACAAGACCGATAAAAAATGTTGATTATTTGTAAGAGTTGTAGATCACAATCAGAATGACAATCACATCACAACGTCAGAATAATTCGGTCTTAAATCACAAACCTGCTCCGTGAGAACACGGACCTAGATAAGATCAAAGTCCGTGATAACAGAAACCAACAGACATGTACAAGCATCGCATATCCCTTCAAAATATCAGTTTCAAACCATTGGTATATGGACAGAATTGGTCGGTCGTGTCAACGAGCATGTAAAATATCGTTAACTTGATAGTCGAGTTGAGGGGGGTGCTTTGTCGTCGATTCGTGTTCATATCTTAATGTCAACGGGTTATAAACAATTCGTTTGGAATACAGCACTTCAGCTTCTTAATTACAAACCTGATATTTAGAGAAAGCTTCAATGCAAAAGTCGTTTACGAATCAGACAACGAAGTAGAAGCCGGTACAATAGAGCTAAGGCACGCACGTTGGACAACGTTTGCCGGAAGTTGAAGGCGCGCGAGTCGCTTCATAGGTTAACACTAAAGTAAAAAAAAAGAAATATCCGGAATTATTTTTATCTTATTTCTGCCAGATGTTAATCGGGTTCAAGGAATTTGAAGTTTAGTGAGACACTAAGCAAATAATTCTTGTCTTATTAGTTTTTATTCAAGTTGCGTTTCGCTTCATTATACAGTATATCACAAACGCCAATGCCCCTTCAAGCGCGTACATAGGTAGATACATAGTGATATAATAATCAATAGCCGCATGCCTTGTGGTTAAGGTTATTTTAATTATTTTTGTCCTTTTGTTATATGAATTTTAAAAATGGAAACCACCTATATTATATATATATTGCTCTCCAATGCCGACTTCTATTAAAGCAGGCATAGGGCTCCAAGGGGTTTTCTCGCTTACCCATCTATTACATGCCGTAAAAAGGATAATGGAGATGTGCTGCGGTCGGGTTCCATTTTGTCCTTTTCGGATGAGACTACACTCAAAGTTCATTGATCGATGTCCTGTTTTCTCCGATGTCGGTCTTAGAAATACAAATTTTGTCAATTTATTTTAAAATAAATTTACCGTAACTATATAAAAGGTATTGGTCTGAACTATCATCATACAGATACAGACTTGTAGCTATAAAGTGTTACCAAAACGGAACCCCTTTACCGTCATGCTTCACACTTGATTTATCTCGTATTAACTAAACATTATTTTGTTTTCTTTTTAAAAAAAAATAGCATGCATTCTGCGGAGTAGAGCCTTACACTGTTGTCATTGAGGTCCAGTGTTTTGACCTGGCGAAGGAACACTTAAATTTGAATTTAAAACATGAAAACGATTTTTATATTCTATTCTACTTCCGGTGACCGACCTACCAAAGTTTGTCAGTGTCACCGTCATCAAATGAAAAAAAAAGAAGGAAAAAAAACAGAACATGTGCGTTATGACTTAAATATAAACACGAAATAAGGCGAAAACAAGAGGTCCGCATGGCCAGTATCGCCCACATGGTTTTACTTTACCCAATCTAAAGGAAACTGATTTTAATCATTCTTAAAACACTGTCATTTCTACAGTATAAGTACTTCAGAATTTGCTTTATCATTTTAGGTCCCTCTCCGTGGGCTAGTCCAGACCAAAAGTGAAGTTCTCTTTCACCTAAGGATGCTCTAGGCGGGCCTACATTTCCCCTTTTGGGCCTGGCTCCTGCCACCCCAGGGAACTACGACCAATCATTTATATGAAATTAATCTCTACTCATTAACGGATACCAAATTGGAACAGAATCTAAGAATTCGTGTAGAAGAGAGATTTTAAAGGATCTGCTCTATTTCCTATAATAGGCGCCGCCCCTCCGCCCCAGGGGGGCACTGTTTATACAAAATCTAATCCCATTCACACCAGAATGCTTAAGCCAAAATAAAAAACAAAATCTAATCATTCCTATAGAACGGAAACGATTTTAAAGAATTCGTCAATTGTTTTGGACCCTCCCCTCAGACCTCTGGGGACCGAGAAAAAGTATTTATACAACTTCCCTTAAGGATGTCCCTGACCAAATTTGGAAAAAAAAACCGTTCCGGCGTTCATAACTAGTAGCGATTTTTAATTACGAACGCCAGGCGGACGACGGACACTGGGCCATGGCATAAGTTCGCCGGTACTTCTTCGGACCAAGTTATATTCCGTGTTCCTGTCCACATCATAACGGAGCGGAAATGTTTGTGATTTTTACTTATCAAAGGTGACACTAATACCTGTGGACTTCTGTACAAGTCTGCCATAAAAATATTCTTTCTTTATTTTGTATTCGTACCAGTCTAATCTAATATAAATTAACATGGCGGTAGTTGAAAAATAAGAATATAGATTTCCATATCTTTGTCTTATTTACTATAAGTTCTTATCGGGAATAAACGCTTATTAACGTTTAATAAAGTCTTACAGAACGTGGTAGGGGAGTTAACTCTAGCAACCTTAACAAAATTTCCACGTGGTTATTGTGAATAGGTTTCGTAGTTTCCCGTCATATTAGTGTTTTAGGTAAATTAAATCTGAAATGATGGCGTGTCTTCGTATCAGATGATCCAGAAAAGTGTTCTGAATAAGACTCCTTTAGAATTTTATGTCCTCTTTTTCTCCTAAACTATGTACATTGTTACCGTTACCTTCGATAACTTGTACTAACCGAATACACCCTACACTCTTAAGATGTCGTTTTAATGTCTATCTTTGTCTCCAGATTCGTCTGAGGGATCTATGTTATGTGGTTAATACATTTTACAAGTCTGAGTATGTATGGTACAAGTATATAGTATACTACTTTCACCCGGGACCGAGGATGTGTATGACACGGAAGTGTTAAGTATTGCACTGAAACTTAAATACGTTAAGGCCTTTATTTATGGTAAAAACGCAATAAGCCCACACGGAACTATATTGTTTTAACTGATCTTATTATAAAGTAGTAGAAAAAGACCGCATAGTATTTTCAATGATCCCTTACGTAGATGAAGGTAAAAAGACAGGTAAATGAACTCAGGTGAAATCTATAGTTAAACTGAAACTGACTGTAATTGGTTTTCTATTGTCTTCCTAAAACAACACCTTTCTTTGTTTCAAAAAATGGGCAAATCGGGAACATCCTCCTACGATATAGTTACTAACGGAAGGCTGTTTGACTTCGTGTCAACAAGATTGAAAAAAAAGATCCGGGGATGAAGACAACTCACCGAAAGGACAAGAATAATGTAAAACTATATGTAAATAAAACAGAAATGCACTACAGTGTTAATATACGGCAATCACTGCATAAAAAACGTCAGTCACCTACAGTTACCAAGACTATGTATGTCACAGAATATATAGGAATAGTATCGGTCATAAATAATATTGTTCTCGTTGCAAGCAGGGATATCAATATTTAATTATTTTTTTCTCAAAAAGGAAAACAAAATTATGATTAAAACACCAACGTTTTATACGTGTTTGGTATCACCTTTAAATGTGACGTCATACAAGTTCGACACCATAAGCTGAGGTTTCGCGCACCACAGTTGAGACTGTGAATGGATGAAGCACTTCAGTTGTTTCATGGTCAGTTTTACAGCTTTTAACTTACAGGTCTTGATTGTAATAAAGAAAACACATTTAATTTTTAAGTATATAGATAGACTTCACACACGTGACACATGTTTTCACTTGTTGGTGCATATATGATATTAAACAGAATATTCAACGTAACGCCATGAAATGCCAATGTCTATATATGTTGAAATTAAACTATCAACATTGATAATGATATATAGCAATGCATTATGACTTGATACAAGGCAAAAATTCCTTGATAGAAAGACGTACTTACTTAAATCATGCACACATTTAGCAGGGCAGTGAATACAAATACAGTATATTTTGAAATCAAAATGATTGATCGCATTTTGATACGAATTTGCATAAGAAATACTTAACACAAGAAACTAGAAAACACATGTAATGTTTGCCCATCACGTAATCATTCATCTGTAGTCCGGCGACGAGGTAGGTTTAAGTGACATCTAGCAGTTTAAATCTCACCCATTTGATAAAAATACCCCCACTGTTATAATCACAACGTAAAGGAGTTGTTCAAATCTGTTTTACAATAAAATCCCGGAGACGACACAAAAGCACTTCACTGTTTACATGCTCGGTAAAAAAAGAAGAATGTCTGGTTGTATTTGCTCTGTACATTAATAAAGCGTAAAGTGACGAATGGATGTTTGAAAGGTATAGTAGTGTTCAGTTTTGTTTTACATCTGCAATGTCTACATTCAATATGTAGTGTATGTCGTTTGCACTTTACATAGGTACAAAAAAGAAGAAGGAAAAAAGAAAAAACAGCAGGGAGTGGAATATTTGATATAAGTTATTCGAAGATAAAGTAAACTTTATGACAAGTGCTGTATTAGTATTTATAAGGAACTTAAGAGTATTACATTGAATCAGGCAATTTTGGCTCATTCACTCACAAATCGGATTTCAATATTAGGACTGAAGTGATTAGTATACAGAGGGTAATACTGACTCAGACGTTTGATTTTTGGCACCTCTTGCTATGTACTGGAGAATGTTCTTTTGACAACCAGATAAAACCTTACTGAGGAGTAGTCGGAAGTGAAGGTGCTGATCAGAACGAGTTTGTGTTTCGGATATATAACAAGTAAGTTATTTCTTTTCTTATTAGAAATATAGTTGTGTAATGTGAGTGAAACATACATGTACATCAACGTTATTTATTTACTTATTTATATCTGACTGTGTGCTACATTGTGTACGACATCATCACAATATTCTATCTATACATATGTGTAACACGTTATGAATACAAGAATGATACGCTTCTATATTATTTTACTTAGGAATCGTTTACGAGAATCTGTTAGTATTTTATTGATAATGAATCTGTTTAGAATAATATTTTCAGGGTCACCTATTAATTTGTAGATACTTGGAATCGACTATAAGTCCATACATGGCACATATTTACGATATACTAATATACAAGATGATAAGAGTCATTATTAAAATTATCTTAGAGATATTCCTATATCTTCAAAATGGCTTAAAGGGGAAAAACTGCAATAATACTCAATGAGGACTAGACCCGAATCATATAGCTATGAAACTCATCACAAGTACTGAACTTTAAAGCATCAAACAGCCCTGTGCAATTACGTTTTTATCAAAATCCGCAAATTCAAGTTAATATTGACATCTGTCGTGCCACGGTGATTCTAATTTCACCTCCTGATCTGTCTTATCATTTGTGTTACTTTCAGGAAATATTAACATGATAATGTACAGTACTTCCATATCTTGTCATCATTTCATAAACAAAATAGCGACAGTGACCAAAACTGTTATCGAAAACACAGTATGATCAAAGCTGATTATATATATAAACATTAATCAGCCTTATGTTTTGTTG